CAGTTCCCTCTCCTTCCCCAATTCCCTATCCTTCACCCAGCTCTCCTCCCTCCGTCCTGAGCCGTTTTCCCAGGTCGGGAGCGCACCCCAAAGCTGGGCTCCTCTGCCCCAACCCACCCGCAACAGAAGTTGAGAAGCTCATGGGGATGGGATGACCAAGACGAACACTCCAGTTAGCTCTTCAGGACCGTCAGAGCCAATCACACGGGGTGAGCATGCAGTCACTGCAGCCGCACGGTACCGTGAGAGTTCTGGGTGCTCTCTCTCTCTGGGAGAGATGGTGGCAAACTCAGATCTGCAATATCTACGATGTCAAAGAGGCATGACAAGTAGGTGCAGCCTGACCCCAGGCTGAAAGAAGGAAACCATATTTGCCAAAGCCTTTTCCCGTTGCACAAGTGGTTTTCTTTGGTGGTTCCTTTATCCGCACTAACCTATTAACTTTCCTTCCTTCCCAGACACATGACATACCATCCTTTTGAAAAGTTTCCAGAAGGATGGAAGGCGTTTTAGGCCAGGATAGGCGCAAAAACTGCATTTAAAAAAGTAGTTCAAAAGAACATCAGCATGCTCTTTTTCCACATTACCAACTGTTAACATTTAACCCATTGGCTAAACAATGGGTTAGCTGAATTGGACCAGCTGGTACTGTGATTGGACTGGACGGTACCGTGACACGGACGAAAGTGGAACATAGATGATAGAAGTATTTTCTTTCCTTGGCTTTTGCCTTCTTTTTCTACGGACAGGATCTCCCTCTGCCGCCCAGGCTGGAGTGCAGTGACGCCATCATAGCTCAGTGCAGCCTCGATTTCCTGGATTCAAGTGATCCTCCTGCCTTGGCCTCTCAAAGTGCTAGGACTACAGGCGTGAGTCTCAGCATCAGGACGATGGTGGAAGTATTGAATTAATGTTAAATTTACTGAAGTTGTACACTGTACTGTCAGTGTATAAGAGAATATTTTTAGGAAATTAACACTGAAGTGTGTAGGAGCAAAGGCACAAGATCTACGAAACTTACATCAAATGGTTCTGAAACAAGGATGCAGTTAGATCCCACACCATAAAGCCAATGGGTTAAATGGTAACAGTTGGTAATCTGGAAAAATGGTAGGCTGATTTTTTTTTTAACCATTTTTTTTTAATGCGACATTTTTGTCTGTCCTGGTCTAAGATGCCTTCCATTCCACTGGCAACTTTTCAAAAGGATGGTATGTCATGTGTCTCTGGAGGAAGGAAAGTTAATAGGTTATTGCTGATAAAGCGGCCACCGAAGAAAACTACCTGTGCAATGGGAAAGACTTTGGCAAAGCTGGTTTTCTTCGCTTATCTTTTCAAAGTCTCTTTATATTAGAACATTCTTTAATGTTTTCTTTTGAATCGTTGTAGATTCACAGGAAGTTGTCCTCCAATGACATTTTATACAACTGTAGGACAATGTAGAAAACAGGAAATTTACATTGGGACATTACAGTTAACTAGACTACAGACTTTTTATTTATTTATGTATTTATTTAGAGTAGGGTCTTGCTCTGTTGCCCAGGCTGGAGTGCAGTGGAGGGATCATGGCTCACTGCAACTTCAAACTCCTGGACTCAAGAGATTCTCCCACCTCACCCTCCTGAACAGCTGGGACTACTGGTGTGTGCCACCCTGCTCAGCTAATTTTTACATTTTTTGTGAAGATGAAGTTTCACCTTGTTGCCCAGGCTGGTCTCAAAGCCCTTGGCTCAAACAATCCTGCCTCCACCTCCCAAAGTGCTGGGACTACAGGTGTGAACCACTGTGCCTGGCTTTATTGTGGTTTAAATTTTTAATTTGCATTTCACAAATGCCTAGAGATGTTGAATACCTTGTCATGTGCTTGTTTGCCATCCATATTTCCTCTGTAGTGAAATATCTGTTCAAGCCTTTTGCTCGTATTATAATTGAATTTTTTTCTTTTTTTTTTTAAACAATGAAGTGGGAAAATTCTTTATATATTGCTGTATGTAAGTCTTTGTCTGATAGGTGATTTGCAAATATTATCTCCCAGTCTGTAGCTTGTGTTTCCATCCCTCTAACAGGATCTTCAACAGAACAAAAGATTTTAATTTCATTGAAGATCAATTTATGAATTTTTGAATTTTACAGAATGTGATTTTGATGTCCTGCCTAAGAACTCTTTACTTAGTCCTAATACTGAAGATTTGCTCCTATGTTATCTTCTAAAAGTTTTATGCTTTACTCTTAAATCCATGATTCATTCAGAATTAATTTTTGTATATAGTGTGAGGTTTAGATTCAGATGGCCTCCTTTCATTTTTAAAATTGAGAGTTGGGTGTGAATTATTTAATAAAAAGTGCTGCCATTTGGAAAATATAAAGTCCTATTCTTATGACAAAATAAATTCCAGACAGCTGAAAGATGTAAAACACAAACAAGCACGTGAAAAAATAAGTTTAACTACACTTCATCAGTGAAGGAATGCAAATCAAAATCACATTGAGGCAAGCCTTTTCCACCTTTCAGACTGACAAAGGTTGAAAGAAAATGGATAATGTCCAGTGTAGAGCATGGAGGAACAGCTGCTATCATAAGGTCATGCCCTGCATCGTGACGTTTGGTCAGTGACAGACAGCATATATGATGGTGATTCCATAAGGTTATAATACTCTATTTTTACTGTACCTTTTTATGTTTAGATATGTTTACATGCACAAATTCTTACCATTGTGTCACGTTTGCCTACAGTATTCAGTATAGTAACATGCTGTACAGGTTTGTAACCTAGGAGCAACAGGGCATACCATGTAGCCTAGGTGTGTAGTAGACTATATCCATCTAAGTTTGTGTAAGTAGCTCTGTGATGTTTGCACAACAATGAAATTGCCTAACATTGCATCTCTCAGAGCATATTCTTTTCCCTAAGGATGCATGACTGTTTTTGGATGGTAACTTGGGAATATTTGTCAAAATAAAACTGAGCATATCCTTTGACACAGCTATTCTGTGTTTGGCGATTTGCCCTAGAAGTGCACAAATACACAATGTATTGACTTGGGAATATACCTTCAATTTGGTTAGAGACTGGTCCAAGCTGCAAAATGTGTTATAGACAAAACCCATTGTATAAAACAGCATTATAAGTTACCTATATAATGTTTTTCATTTGAACACTTTAACATACAGACTATATCAGGAACAAGATACATACATATGTATTCTTTTTTTCCATAGAGTAGTTATCTCCTCTCAGTGAGATGGAGAGATGGAGACAGTAGGTTGGGAGAGGTACAGGAGGATAGTGGAACAGGGTGTATTTCCTTGTACTCGTTGATAATTTAAAAAGATGAAAAATATCAAGTTGGAGCTGAGCCTAGACTGCCCTCCTTCACCACACCCTCCTCAGGCCTGTGAGTGGGGCCACAGCTCATGGTCCTCAGCCTCACCTCACTGCATCTTTCCTCCCCTTGTGCTTTGTATTTGGGGGGTGTGGACGGCTCATCTTCTTTATGAGACTATGGGCTCCCTGAGAAGGGACTGTATCTTCCTCATATTTGTACCATCCCTAAAGTCTGGCTTAGTTCTCGGCATACAGAA